CCCCGCCACTACACTCTCAGGCTGAGCCCTCCACCCTCGTGGACAGCCTCCCAGCCTGGAATCACAGGCCCTTGCTCAAAGCCTTCACTGCAGATCTTCCCTACAAAGGGCCAGTCGCCTGTGCCATCTGAGTGCCTGCTGGCAAGGTGCATGGGAGGGATTGCTGTGGGTTGCTACAGTGGACACAGAGTAGATGGGGCTGTGTGGTCACCCAGTTACATGTTCCTGGTGTTTGAAGTCCCCCGAAGCTCGATTCTCTGCAGGGACCTGCTTGTTCCCTCTGCAAGCTTCTGGAGTGTGGAGGGAGCCCCCCTCCCCCTTAGCTCTTTATCAGAGGGCTCCACCGTTTCCCAAGGGCCTGCCTTAGCTGGAGACTTTGCTTTTTGTTCTTGAAACCAGCCCAGGCTCTGCAGGGTCAGCAGATGGAAACCACGGCCACTCCTGGGCCCAGGTGCTCTCCTCCTCCTCCTCCTGCTCTCTCTTCTTCCCAGTCGGATCCCAAGAGGAGCTCGGCTGGCACAGTGCATCGGTGTTGGACTGCTAACCACAACGTCCGCAGTTCAAACCAACTAGCCTCTTCGAGGGGGAACTTGGAGGCTGCTGTCTGCTCCTGTAAAGATCTGGAATCCCACGGGCCATTCTGCCCTGACCTAGAGGGTCGGTCTGAGTTAGGACTGGCTGGATGGCAGGGAGTTTGTGTTTATTAGGGTGCTTGGTAGCGTGGTGGTTAAGCAGCTGGTAAGAGAGAGAGGCTGCTTCCATGGAGATTTATAGCGTGGAAACCTTGTGGACACTTATTCCTTGACCTGCAGGGCCTGTGAGTCAGTCTCAGCTCGATAGCAAGGCTTCCATTCTGCTTTGTGCTGCCTCTGCTGGCCCTTCATGGCCCTGCTGTGCCCCCTCCACCCTTCCTGCCTCTGTTCTCGCTCGCTCGGGCCCTGCTTCTTTGTCTCTGCCTTTGTTTCTCTCTGTCTCTCCTGCCTTTCTCTTTGGTGGTCTGTCTCTGTGTCTCCCCCTGGGGTGGCCCACCCTGCCCCGGGGACTTCCAGGCTGTCCTCAGGTTCAGTTGCCAGCACTTTCACTCCATGTTTCCTTTCAGGGAAGTTCTGTTTCACTCCGAGGGCAGCACCTCGAGTTTTTGTGGCTTTTGCTCCCTCCCCCTCTTCCCTGTCCGCCTGCCAGCCCCTTCCTCCCCACCCCCCATCCTGTTCTTGCTAGGCCTTCTTTTCTTGTCCTGGTTCAGCCCTGTTTTCACAGCGTGCTCCAAGACCCTGAGAAGTTCCGACCTGTCTTCTTCTGTTGGCTGAACAGAGATCTGTGTCCTTGGGCTCATTTTTTCCACTGTTTGTCTGGGCCTTCTGTCCCGTTGTCTTGCAGACTTGTCTCTGCAGCTGGGATCAAGCTTTGGGGAGGCTGACTTGTATGGAGGTGCTTGGGGTGGGGGGGCACCTGGTGCCCTCCACGCTTTTCTGGCATGGGTAGGGGGACTTCATGACATCTTCCTCTAGCAGCGTGCACTGAGATCTGAATCTGAGTGGGGGGGGGGTGCCACCTCCTCCCCCACAGTCAGCCACCCTCCTCATTTCTCTCTCTCTCCCTCTCTCACTCTGGATTCTCCTGGCTGCGCAACCAGCAACCCTTGGCCACCCCACCCCCAGATAGGCCCAACAGGGGCCCTCACAGACCCACCCACCCACCCCACTCCCGGCCCCACTGGCTCCCACCATCTCCCCACCTTCCAGCCTCTCTCTGCCTCAGGTCCGGAAGTTGGGGGTGGGGGTGCAGGCAGGACTTAGAACTTCAGGAGACCCCGGCTAGCATGACTGCTTCTGCCCTGTCACCGTGCCCCTCACACAAGCTGGGACTTTTCCTTTCAGCCCAAGTAATCATGCATGATGCCCAGACCATCGCATACAAGATGAGAGTACCTGGGTATGGCCCAGAACCTGTGTGTGCAATTTGCACACACTTACTTTGCCACGAGTGAGGAACAGACTGACGACGTGGGCGCACACGGACATGCACACAGGAGCACACAAGAAAGCTGGTGGGTGTGCACATACACAGATGGACACACACAGAACCAGTGTGATCACACAGACACACACCGACAGTGCAATTGTACACACACAGACCGACAGTGTGATCACACAGACTATAATCACACAGACACACACCCAGAGAGTGTAATCACACAGTGTAACCACACCCACACAGACACTACTCACACACAGTGTAATCCCACAGACCCAGTGTAAAGCACACAGATACAGTATAATCACACCCACACACACTAATCATGCAGACATACACAGACACACAGTGTAATCACACCCACACAGACACTGTAATCACAGACACAGTGTAATCACATATACACAGTGTAATCGCGCACACAGACACTAATCACAGACACACACAGTGTAATCAAACCCACACAAATTAATCATAC